AGTCCAGAGCTAAACAACTACTGTCCAGAACTACACAACAACAGTCCAGAGCTACGCAACTACATGTTATGTCCAAAACTTCACAGCTAAATTCTAGAACTACACATCTATAGTTCAGAACTACACAAATATAGTTCAGAACTACACAAATAAAGTCCAGAGCCACACAATTACAGTCCAGAGTCCAGAACTACACACCTACAGTCCAGAGCTTCACAGTTGTGAAGCTATGGACTGTAGCTGTGTATAGCTCTGCACTTTTACATGTAGTTGTGTAGTTATTTCTAGACTATAGTTGTTTTGTAGTTGTGTAGTTTCAAACAGTAGTTGTGTAGTTCTTGACTATAGTTGTGTAGCGCTGGAATGTAGTTGTGTAGTTCTACACAACTATAGTCCAGAGCTACACAACTATAGTCCAGAGCTACACAACTACATGTTATGTCCACAACTTCACAACTAAAGTCAAGAGCTACATAACTTCAGTCCAGAGCTACACAACTACAGCCCAGAACTACACAACTACAGTGCAGAGCTATACAACTATGGTCCAGAACTTCACAACTACAGTCCGGAGCTACACAACTACAGTCCATAACTACACAACTATAGTCAAGAGCTACACAACTACAGTCCAGAACTACACAACTACAGTCCAGAACAACACAACTACAGTCCAGAGCTACACAACTACAGTCCAGAACTTAACAACTTCAGATCAGAGCTAAACAACTACAGTCCATAACTACACAACTATAGTCCAAATCTACACAACTATAGTCCAGAGCTACACAACTACAGTACAGAGCTACACAACTAAAGTCCAGAACTACACAACTACAGTCCAGAGCTACACAACTATAGTCCAGAGCTACACAAGTACAGTCCAGAACTACACAGCTACAGTCCAGAGCTACACAACTACAGTCCAGAACTTAACAACTTCAGTCCAGAGCTACACAACTACAGTCCATAACTACACAACTATAGTCCAGAGCTACACAACTACAGTCCATAACTACACAACTATAGTACAGAGCTAAACAACTACAATCCAGAGCTACACAACTATAGTCCAGAGCTATGCAACTACAGTCCAGAGCTACACAACTACAGTCCAGACCTACACAACTACAGTCCAGAACTACACAACTATAGTAGAGAACTACATAACTATAGTCCAGAGCCACACAATTACAGTCCAGAGCTACACAATTACAGTCCAGAGCTACACAACTATATTCTAGAACTACACAACTATAGTTCAGAACTACACAACTATAGTCCATAACTACACATCTGTAGTCCATAACTACACAACTACAGTCAAGAACTAAACAAATATAGTCTAGAACTACACTACTATAGTCCAGAGCTACACAACTACAGTCCAGATCTATACAACTACTGTCCAGAACTACACAACTACAGTCCAGAACAACAAAACTATAGTCTAGAACTACATAACTATAGTCTATAACACAGTCCAGAATTAAACAACTATAGTCCAGAGCTACACAACTATCAATTATAGTCTAGAACTACACAACTATCTACACAACTACAGTCCAGAACAACAAAACTATAGTCTAGAACTACATAACTATAGTCTATAACTACACAGTTACCCTCCAGAGCTACACAACTATAGTCTAGAGCTACACAACTACAGTCCAGAACTTAACAACTCACAACTATATTCAAGAGCGACACATCTACAGTCCAGAGCTACACAAATATCAATTATAGTCTAGAACTACACAACTTTAGTCTAAAACTACACACCTATAGTTCAGAACTACACAACTATAGTCCATACCTACACATCTGTAGTCCATAACTACACAACTACAGTCCAGAGCTACACAACTCAAGTCTAGACCTACACAACTATAGTTCAGAGCCACACAACTACAGTCTAGTACTACACAATTATAGTCTAGAACTACACAACTTTAGTCTAGAACTACACACCTATAGTTCAGAACTACACAACTATAGTCCAGAACTACACAGCTACAATCCAGAGCTACACAAGCTACACAACTACAGCGCAGAACTACGCAACTACAGTGCAGAGCTACACAACTATAGTCCAGAGCTACACAACTACATGTTTAGTGCACAACTTCACGACTAAAGTCAAGAGCTACATAACTACAGTCCAGAGCTACACAACTACAGCCCAGAACTACGCAACTACAGTGCAGAGCTATACAACTATTGTCCAGAACTTCACAAGTACAGTCCAGAGCTACACAACTACAGTCCATAACTACACAACTATTGTCAAAAGCTACACAGCTACAGTCCAGAACTACACAACTACAGTCCAGAACAACAAAACGACAGTCCAGAGCTACACAACTACATGTTTAGTGCACAACTTCACGACTAAAGTCAAGAGCTACATTAGTCCAGAGCTACACAACTACAGGCCAGAGTTACACAACTACAGTCCAGAAATATACAACAACAGTTCAGAGCTTCAAAACTTCAGAATTAAACAACCATAGTCTAGACCTACACAACTATAGTCTAGAACTACACAACTATAGTCTAGACCTACACAACTATAGTCAAGAACTACACAACTATAGTCTATAACTACACAACTAAAGTCCAAAACTTCACAGCTACATTCTAGAACTACACAACTACAGTCCAGAGCTACACAAATACAGTCCAGAGCTACACAACTACAGTCCAGACCTACACAACTACAGTCGAGAACTACACAACCATAGTCTAGATCTACATAACTATAGTCTATACCTACACAGTTACAGCCCAGAGCTACACAACTATGCTACACAACTAAAGTCCAGAGCTACACAAGTACAGTCCAGAACTACACAACTACAGTCCAGAGCTACACAACTACAGTCCATAACTACACAACTATAGTCCAGAGCTACAAAACTATAGTCCAGAGCTACACAACTAAAGACCAGAACTACACAACTACAGTCCAGAGCTACACAACTATAGTCCAGAGCTACACAAGTACAGTCCAGAACTACACAACTACAGTCCAGAGCTACACAACTTTAGTCAAGAGCTACACAAATACAGTCCAGAGCTTCACAACAACAGTCCAGAGCTACACAACTACAGTCCAGAATTAAACAACTATAGTCTAGACCTACACAACTATAGTCCAGAGCTACAAAACTACAGTCCAGAGCTACACAACTATAGTCTAGAACTACACAACTATAGTCCAGAGCTAGACAAATACAGTCCAGAGCTACACAACTATAGTCTAGAGCTACACAACTACATTATAGTCCAGAACTTCACAACTAAGGTCCAGAGCTACACAACTACAGTCCAGAGCTTCACATCTACAGTCCAGAACTACGCAACTACAGTCCAGAGCTACACAACTATAGTCCAGAACTTCACAACTACAGTCCATAACTACACAACTTTAGTCCAGAGCGACACAACTATAGTCCAGAACTACACAACTACAGTCCAGAGCTACACAACTACAGTCCAGAGCTACACAACTACATGTTTAGTCCAGAACTTCACAACTAAAGTCCAGAACTACATAACTACAGTCCAGAGCTACACAACTACAGCCCAGAACTACGCAACTACAGTCCAGAGCTATACAACTATAGTCCAGAACTTCACAACGACAGTCCAGAGCTACACAACTACAGTCCATAACTACACAACTATAGTCCAGAGCTACACAACTACAGTCCATAACTACACAACTATATTCCAGAGCGACACATCTACAGTCCAGAGCTACACAAATATAGTCCAGAAGTACTCAACTACAGTCCAGGACTACACAACTACAGTCCATAGCTTCACAACTACAGTCCAGAGCTACACAGCTACAGTCCAGAACTACACAACTACAGTCAAGAGCAACACAACTACAGTCTAGAACTACACAACTACAGTCCAGAGTTACACAACTACAGTCCAGAACTATACAACAATAGTCCAGAGCACCACAACTCCAGAATTTAACAACCATAGTCTAGACCTACACAACTATAGTCTAGAACTACACAACTATAGTCTAGAACTACAAAACTATAATCCAGAACTGCACAACTATAGTCAAAAAATTCACAGCTACAGTCTAGAACTAAACAACTATAGTCCAGAGCTATACAAATACAGTCCAGAGCTACACAACTATAGTCCAAAGCTATACAAATACAGTCCAGAGCTACACAACTATAGTCCAGAGCTACACAACTACAGTCCAGAGCTACACAACTACAGTTCTAAACTACACAACTATAGTACAGAACTACACAAGTACAGTCCAGAACTACACAACTACAGTCCAGAGCTACACACAACTATAGTCCAGAGCTACACAACTACAGTCAATAACTACACAACTATAGTCCAGAGCTACACAACTACAGTCCAGAGCTACACACAACTATAGTCCAGAGCTACACAACTATAGTTCAGAGCTACACGACTACAGTACAGAGCTACACAACCAAAGTCCAGAACTACAAAACTACAGTCCAGAAACAACACAACTATAGTCCAGAGCTACACAAGTACAGTCCAGAACTACACAACTACAGTCCATAACTACACAACTATAGTCCAGAGCTACACAACTATAGTTCAGAGCTACACAACTACAGTACAGAGCTACACAACCAAAGTCCAGAACTACAAAACTACAGTCCAGAAACAACACAACTATAGTCCAGAGCTACACAAGTACAGTCCAGAACTACACAACTATAGTCTAGACCTACACAACTATAGTCCAGAGCTACACAACTACAGTCCAGAGTTACACAACTACAGTCCAGAGCTACACAACTACAGTCCAGAGCTATAAACTACATGTATAGTCCAGAACTTCACAACTATTGTCCAGATCTACACAACTACAGTCCAGAGCTACACATCTACAGTCCAGAACTACGCAACTACATTCCAGAGCTACAAACCTATAGTCCAGAACATTACAACTACAGTCCATAACTACACAACTATAGTTCAGAGCGACACATCTACAGTCCAGAGCTACACAACTACGGTCCAGAGCTAAACAACTATAGTCTAAAACTACACAACTATAGTCCAGAGCTACACAACTACAGTCCAGAGCTACACAACTTTAGTCAAGAGCTAGACAACTACAGTCCAGAGCTACACAACAACAGTCCAAAGCTACACAACTACAGTCCAGAGCTACACAACTACATGTAAAGTCCAGAACTTCACAACTATAGTCCAGAGCTACACAACTACAGTCCAGATCTACACAACTACAGTCCAGAACTACACAACTATAGTCCAGAGCTACACAACTACAGAACAGAGCTACACAACTAAAGTCCAGAACTACACAAGTTCAGTCCAGAGCTACACAACTCTACACAACTATAGTCCAGAGCTACACAACTACAGTACAGAGCTACACAACTAAAGTCCAGAACTACACAAGTTCAGTCCAGAGCTACACAACTATAGTCCAAAGCTACACATGTACAGTCCAGAACTACACAACTACAGTCCAGAGCTACACAACTTTAGTCAAGAGCTAGACAACTACAGTCCAGAGCTACACAACAACAGTCCAAAGCTACACAACTACAGTCCAGAGCTACACAACTACAGTCCAGAGCTACACATCTACAGTCCAGAACTACGCAACTACATTCCAGAGCTACACACCTATAGTCCAGAACTTCACAACTACAGTCCATAACTACACAACTATAGTTCAGAGCGACACAACTACAGTCCAGTGCTACACAACTACAGTCCAGAGCTACACAACTATAGTCTAAAACTACACAACTATAGTCCAGGGCTACACAACTACAGTCCAGAGCTACACAACTACAGTCCAGAGCTTCACAACTACATGTATAGTCCAGAACTTCACAACTATAGTCCAGAACTACGCAACTACATTCCAGAGCTACACCACTATAGTCCAGAGCTACACAACTACAGTCCAGAACTACACAACTTCAGTCCAGAACTACGCAACTACAGTCCAGAACTACACAACTACAGTCCAAAACTTAACAACTTCAGTCCAGAGCTACACAACTACAGTCCATAACTACACAACTATAGTCCAGAGCTACACAAATACAATCCAGAGCGACACAACTATAGTCCAGAGCTATACAACTACAGTCCAGAGCTACACAACTACAGTCCATAACTACACAACTACAGTCCAGAACTTAACAACTTCAGATCAGAGCTAAACAACTACAGTCCATAATTACACAACTATAGTCCAGAGCTACACAACTATAGTCCAGAGCTACACAACTACAGTACAGAGCTACACAACTAAAGTCCAGAACTACACAACTACAGTCCAGAGCTACACAACTATAGTCCATAACTACACAACTATAGTCCAGAGCTACACAACTACAGTCCATAGCTACACAACTAAAGTCCAGAACTACACAACTACAGTCCAGAGCTACACAACTACAGTCCAGAACTACACAGCTAAAAGTCAAGAGCTACACAACTGCAGTCCAGAGCTACACAACTACAGTCGAGAATTAAACAACTATATTCTATACCTAAACAACTATAGTCCAGAGCTACACAACTACAGTCCAGAGCTACACAACTATTGTCTAGAACTACACAACTATAGTCCAGAGCTACACAACTACAGTCCAGAGCTACACAACTATAGTCTAGAACTACACAACTATAGTCTAGAACTACACAACTATAGTCTAGAACTACGCAACTATAGTCCAGAACTACACAACTATAGTCCAGAACTATACAGCTACAGTCCAGAACTACACAACTATAGTCAAGAACTACACAACTGCAGTCCAGAGGTACACAACTACAGTCCAGAGCTACACAACTACATGTATAGTCCAGAACTTCACAACTATAGTCCAGAGCTACACAACTACAGTCCAGAGCTACACAGCTACAGCCCAGAACTACACAACTACATTCCAGAGCTACACAACTATAGTACATAACTACACAACTTTAGTCCAGAGCGACACAACTACAGTCCAGAGCTACACAGCTATAGTCCAGAACTACACAACTACAGTCCATAACTACACAACTATAGTCCAGAGCGACACAACTTCAGTCCAGAGCTACACAACTATAGTCCAGAACTACACAACTACAGTCTAGAACTACACAACTATAGTCCAGAGCTACACAGCTATAGTCCAGAACTACACAACTACAGTCCAGAAATCCACAACTATAGTCCAGAACTACACAGCTACAGCCCAGAACTACACAACTACATTCCAGAGCTACACAACTATAGTACATAACTACACAACTTTAGTCCAGAGCGACACAACTACAGTCCAGAGCTACACAGCTATAGTCCAGAACTACACAACTACAGTCCATAACTACACAACTATAGTCCAGAGCGACACAACTTCAGTCCAGAGCTACACAACTATAGTCCAGAACTACACAACTACAGTCTAGAACTACACAACTATAGTCCAGAGCTACACAGCTATAGTCCAGAACTACACAACTACAGTCCAGAAATCCACAACTATAGTCCAGAACTACACAGCTACAGCCCAGAACTACACAACTACATTCCAGAGCTACACAACTATAGTCCATAACTACACAACTTTAGTCCAGAGCGACACAACTACAGTCCAGAGCTACACAGCTATAGTCCAGAACGACACAACTACAGTCCATAACTACACAACTATAGTCCAGAGCGACACAACTACAGTCCAGAGCTACACAACTATAGTCCAGAACTACACAACTACAGTCTAGAACTACACAACTATAGTCCAGAGCTACACAACTATAGTCCAGAACTACACAGCTACAGTCCAGAACTACACAACTATAGCCCAGAGCTACACAACTACAGTTCAGAGCTACACAACTATAGTCCAGAACTACACAACTACAGTCCTGAATTACACAACTACAGTCCAGAACTACACAACTATATATATATATATATATACAATAAAAACATATTTTTTTCAGATCGTCCGCTAGGCCTTTCTGCCTTCCTGGGCTTTTACAGGCGGAGTACACAGGAATCCGCCTGAAGAAGCCCTAGAAGTTTGTTTTCCCCAAACTTTGTTACAATCTTAGAATAAAGTGTTTCCTTTAAGTATCCTAAAACTAAGGTTGCATAAGTAGATTGTGAAAGTTTGAGGAAAACTTTACTGAATTTATCAGAAATATTTTTTTAAGGTTCCTTGACGATTGTTTTGTTATATGGCCTTCTGATAAGGATTTAAATGAATTTCAAAATCTATTGAATTCTTTACATCCTTCTATTTGTTATACGATGGAGTGTAATGAAACGTCTTTACCTTTCTTAGATGTTTTAGTTCAACAAGATTAAAATAAGATTACAACGGATTTATATTGTAAGGCTACAGATGCACATAATTATCTAATTTTTTACTCTAACCACAGTAAACACACTAAAGTTAATATTCCTTTTAATCTTGCCTCACGGATTGTCACTATCGTCAGTGACCAACAAGCTCAAATTGCTAGACTCAGTCAACTAAAGCAATACCCTAAAGCTCAATGTTATCCTACTAAGATAATAGAACATGGTATACAGAAAGCTATTGAAAAGGGACCCTTTACTTCCCGTCTACAAAAACTAAAGGATGAATCAAAGTTAGTTCCTTTTGTTTCTACTTTCAATCCACGGAATTGTAATATGTTTCCTGTGATAAAGAACAAATGTGAAGAGTTAAAGCAAAGTAGCAGGCGTATAAGAAACATTTATAATAAGCATGCTATTTTACACTGTAGACGCCAACCTTAAAACTTGAAACGTATGTTGACATGTTCTAAGTTTGATAATTCTTGTGTAACACCAGAAGTATCCAAATGTAAGACACCAAGATGTGCTACATGTCCTATGATTATCGAGTGTAATACTTTTATTTTCAAGAATGGTTTGAAATTTACTGTGAAGGTAAATATGAATTGTAAATCAAAAAATGTAATTTATGCAATAGTTTGTTCTAAATGTGGTGATTTTTACATCGGTCAAACCGGTAATGAACTCAGAACACGTATGACTGTACATAGACAACAAACTAGAACTGATTCTTTACGAAATCTTCATGTTAACAAACATATTCATGAATGTGCTGGAGATAAATTTAATGTATTACCTTTGTATCAACTATTTTCATCAGACACTATTTTAAGAGAAACGAAAGAAGACCAACTAATAAAAATATTAAAACCGAGTCTCAACAGGCCACAATAAAATTTTACGCCAAATTGTCCACCAATCTTGTGTACTTCGTGACGTCACGTTACTATTGTAGTGTGATGACATGTAATTGTGACGTCACGACGTTGTTCTTTTGAATAAACCTGAAGAGCCCTGTGAAGGGTGAAAGCAGCTAGTTTTATAGTCGGTCGTTAATCTTTCTATATTTACTTCCTTCACATGGACATTTAATCTCTTTTTATTATATATATATATATATAGTCCGGAACTACAAAAAAAATGTATATAAAACGAATATTACAATGTATGTATACAATATTACCGGACCAAATGCAATTGCAGCTGGTATGTTATTCTAGAGAGTATTCCTTTGGGAATAGTTTCCACCTAGTCTATTTAATCTTAGGTAATTTCTAAATTGACTTCCTTTGTAAACTGTCGTAAACATTCTATGACATTTCTGTACATGTATGTCTCGTGAGAGATGGCTCTCATGTATGGCCTACTTCAGCCGTTCATAAAATCTCTCTCACGTATGTATCTCTACCTAGCAGCTTACTGTATCAGGCAGTGCTCATGTTAGGTTTTATTCGACCGCTGGGATTTTCTATTCTACGATCTAATTAAGAGTGACTTAATCTGCGTTTCGGGATTAATATCAGCCGTCCTCGATCGTCTCGGTAAATAAAAAAGACATGGCCAATCAGACAAGCTGTAGGCAAATCGGACGCATTTCCCCACAGCGCCATATATCTTTATCACTATTGGGGCCGGACTCCTCAAATAAAGCTATAGAGAAGCAATGTATATCTTATATTGGCTAGATTGATTAATTTCAGACTAAAAAACTGAGGGAAAATTTCTGGTAAAGATAAATTTGGGTTAAATTACATTTAAAGGAACATCGACTGCCTTTCCTGTGTCGTCTCTGGGTTCCCGGAATATCCCGAGCGTCCTGACTTTACTGCTAGCGTATGGACAC